TGTATGTATGTATGTAAGTATGTGTGTGTGTGTGTGTACACCAAAATTACTGGCACGAATGTCAAAGATAGCGAACATCTGAGAATACAAAGCTTCCCAAGCGATCGACCGACAATTCAACGGCAAGCATGAGAAGCCACACCTCTAAACCTGTGATAGGTCACAACTCTGGAGATGGTTTCTGACTCAGTAGCGACAAAATTAACCGATGGTGAGGTGCAAATTATCCTGGTAGCGAGTTTCGTCGAATATCCCGCATAGACAGCGACAAGTTCCGCCCAAGACCTTGCTAGAGGGGAGATCCGATCAAGGCGACGAACTGACCAGGTCGACACGACACAGGTCCTGTATGACTTGAGCCATACAACGAGTGAACCATGACTCACCCAACGAAATAAATCATCCATTCAGTCGATCGACCAACCGAAGCAACAGGTCTTACAGAGCCTATTGGCTATACCTCTTGACGAAAAAGATAACCATATTCAACCAATCGATTACGCCCTCTCGACATAGGCAAATTTCAGAGGAACTGTCTTCCGCCAGCTGACAACTTTCACTTAAACTCATAAGTCATTGTAAACTGTTATTCTTTATCAATATTATAACAGACATTAATATTATTAAGAGTGTTTATCATAAAGGTTCCTACATCCTTTAATTGTACTGATCAGACCTATTTAAATTGACGGTCTTAAGAGGAATAAATAGGACTGGCTAATAAAGAGGACTCTGGCTATTTCTGAGAAAATTGTCGTGTGTTCTTACTCTCTCTCTCTCTCTCTCTATCTCTCTCTCTCTCCCTCTCTTTCTTTTCGCTCTTTTGATTTTGACTCTCGCACTGTGCTCACAAGAAGACAAGTTAGGATTCAGCATCCTGAAGGGTGGTGCGATGAGCGTGGAGCATGCCACAGACGAAAAGCGGAAAGGACTACGAAGAAGACACTTTCCAAAGAGAAATATCACGCATGGAACCCAATAGAGACTCTATGCAATCAGACGTCCACACACAGGTCCAGAGCATACAAACCCAAATGAACCTCATGATGGAGCAATTTGATGTCCTTTGGGTAGCAATCACCTAGAGGAATGACCTGATGTCTCACCTGGAAGCGGAACCTCAAGAGGTCTGTCACTAAAGGGCCCCAACGGAAAACCTGCTAGGTCCAGACAACTAGAATAGCAACCAGCGGACGGAGGGACATGGCGAGTCCCAACACACTAACATAATCGTGCCCACACAAGCGAACATGCGATGTGAAGAACACATGTGAGTACCTGATCGCTCCCCGAATCAAAGAGTTGGCACCCTCATTCAAGCTAAGGTTCCCTCACCTAGATTTTTATAAAGGGAGGACCACTTTGATGGTCCACGTAGTGTCGTTCGAGTCATCGATAAGCCTACTCCAGACACTCTGAAGGAGTCAGCTCTTTGATAGTTCAACTGTTTGCCGATCGAAACTATCCCAAGTTACTAAGAATTTAAAAGAGACTTCATCTCGAACTTATCGAATGTAAGGAAACCAATGAGGGACTAATACACCCTGTTCGACCTCAAACAAGGAGAAAATGAGAGCCTATGGGTCTATATCATCTGTTTCCAAAACAAACTGTTGAAATTTAGTGACCTGAAGCCTGATATAGCCTCAACAGCTTCAAAATGAGGAGTTTGAAGCAAGCAGTTTAGGCGTACCTAAATATATTTAAACCTATTAGTTTTACAGAGGTATTTGAGATGGTGAACGGCCACATACTTGCCAAGGAAAACTTCTAAGGCGCTCCAAAAGGTAAGCTAGAGTCACCCGACCATCCCTCAAAGTGGCGGAAAGAGCAAGGAGAATCACAAAAGGTGAAGGATAATTAGTCCACCAGTCACCACCACAACAACTCTCAGTCATGGGATCAGAGGGTAAGTGGCCTAGGGCATCATAACAAAAAGTAGTTCTCTGACCAACAATCGACCCAAAATTACGAACGACCACATGTTTACTAGAAGATACATGGTTTATTGCCCCTCAACGTATCAATGATCAAAATATTCTATGCTATCTAAAAAAATGACTACTTTAAACTGGCCCCGCCACTGAAGGTAGCCCCAACCTTACGAGATCCAATGTGATATTGTCAATATCACTGTGACCATGGACACGACATGGAGGAATGTCGTCACCTTCGAATCTTATAGAGGAGCTCATCTACATTGTAAAGCTCAAATAGTTTGTCGTAGTTGGTGTGCACAGACAGCTGTAGGGTAAAGCTCTTGCAGGAGAACCCACAAACAGGTTTGTCTAGGCGAGTGAGGTCCATGTAGCAGGGATAATCCCAACCATCTTAGAGGGAGATCCTTGACCCTTCGGCTTGGAAAGACAACATACAGGAGAGGTATGCTTCATTGTTTCGTATACATATAACCTTTTACTAATTATCTTTACGGATGCAGATCTCCCACCGAAAGGGAACCCTACAATGAAGTGATCATTATCACGATGCTAATCAACAACTACCAGGTGGGTGCTATTCTTGTTGATATGGGGATTTTGGTCAATACCACATTCAAAATGGTGTTCGATAAGATCAGCTTGGAGATCGATCAGTTGACACCATCGTTGTTTAGATTCCCCTAGAAAGGAAGGAGGCATTATGCTCATCACTCTAACCATTTCTTCGGAGGAACCAGAAAATCAGTACAATAACACAAATGATTTTCTCTTGGTGAAATCTCCATCGATCTACAATGTTATTTTAGGACATCCACCCTTGAACATGTACTGAGCGATGATTTCTAGCTACCATGTGACTGTAAAATTTCTGGGTGACTGGGAGGTGATCACGGTCAGGGTAAATTTGGAGCAATCTAGAAGCTACTATTTGTGAGCGATCTCGAACATTGACCATTGGCCACTCGATATCAAGATCCAAAGGGAAGGGGATCTCAAGACCAGTGAACCTATAATCCAAGTACTTGTGTCCAACAAAGAACCTGATAAGATCTTCCTAATCAGTGAAAATTTCGATGTAGGACTCAGGGACCAGCAGATACAAACACTTCGGAAGTAGCGGGATAGCGGAGATGTATGGCATTTCAATCAACACTGTGTGCCACCGACTAAATATTAGCCCTACTCTCGGTCGGTCTGGTGGAAAATTTAATCAACCTCCATAATTCTAGTCGAACCGATAGTGGCTGAGGTGTAGAAGCTGCTAGATGTCGGCTATATCAGTGAATTCCACTACCCAACTTGGCTCTCAAACGACTTGACTTTCAAACATCATGATGGTCAAGAAAGCTAATGATAAATGGTGAATGTTCATCAACTTCACCAACCTTAATGTAGCTTGCTCAAAGGCTTGCTCAACCTGCCAAAGATTGACACCTTGGCGGATGCATCAGTGAGATACTTGGTAATGAGTTTCCTCGACGCTTTCTCTATTAAAAATGCACCCGACTTGTGCAAAAAAATTTCATTAATTACCACACAAGGCATATTTTGTTTTAATGTAATGCCTTTAGGCTTAAGAACGCCGAGATGAGCTATCAACACCTCATGGGTATAATTTTTTCTAATAAAAAAGGAAAGAATGTTTATGTGTATGTTGACAATATTCTAGTTAAGAGTAAGAGAGCTGAATAACACATTGAAGATTTGAGAGAAACCTTCAAAACACTTAAGATATTCCATAGGAGATTGAACCCCTCCAAGTACACCTTTAGAGCATTTTCTAACAAGTTCCTTGGCATTCTATTGACTCCCAAAGGATTAAAAGCCAATCCAAAAAAAGTATAAGCAATCTTAGACATGCCACCCCCACGGAGTACCAAGGAGGTTCAGAGACTAACTAGTCGAATCACCAAGCTCAGTCGTTCTATCCCAAAGTCAGATGACAAGTGTGCATCATTCTTCAAAACACTAAGAAAAAATTAATGATTCGAATGGACGACCGAATGTGAGGAGGCATTGAAAAAACTTAAAAAATTCCTTAGCGTTACCCCCACTATTCAAGAGCCTGAAGCCGATAGAAGAACTTTCACTGTACCAGAAATTTGAATGAAAGGTTGCAAGGTCAGTTATGATCCGAGAAGAGATGGGAAAATAATATTAAGTCTACTACATGAGAAGAGTGCTTCATGGTGCTAAAACTAGGTACCCTATTATAGAAAAACTAACTTTCTATTTGATTATTTTTTCTTGCAGGCTTCAACCATATCTCTAGATGCATGTGATCTGAGTCATCATGGACCATTCGTTAAAATTTGTGTTTGCTCAAATAGAACACTCTGGACAACTGCTAAAGTGGTTGGTAGAGCTCAGTGAATTCAACATCACCTACATTCCACAGATGGTAATCAAAGTTCAAGTAATTGTTGATTTCCTGGCTGATTTCTCCATAATAGAAGAGCAGAAT